GAATCTAACCTTCCTATCCCTTTCAGACGGCGAGAAATTCAGTCTATAGAAACTACTGGTACATTGCATAAGGAGCCAGAAGGAAAAATCTTCTAGGAGAATTAAGAAGATATCCCTTGTCTTTTTATGCACCAAAATACTTTTCGTGAACATCACTAGGGTTCACCATTTATTATTATCTGCAAAGTGAACATTTTCATAAGATACAATTTTCTGTCATTGCCTTTGAAACCATCTTCAACTTACGACCGCAGTTATTTAGATATCTAATTAATCAAACTTTAATTTACTTGGTTGTGACTAGCAGAGGAACTCAGATTAGAAATTTCATCCCATTTGGAACTCGTCAGCTAGATGTACCTGCACTCCAGTGAGTGATGTTGTCCCCACTGGAACTAGAATCTCATACCCATAGCTTCAAATCTCAAAGCATTATCCACTGGGTCACCTAGGTACGATAGATACCTTTTGTACAACAGGTATTAGCTATTACTACCTGAATTACAAGGATATCAACAAGTAGTAATAATCAACCTTTAGCTTTGGAAAAGCCAGGAAAAGTGAAAATTTTCTAGAAACCTTGACCGACACACATCATTCATCTGTGTATCTGAAGTGATAACCTTACTTGATAAGCCCTACATGATTCACTGAGTAATAAACATCAAGTTTAGAAGAAAGCGCTTGCACCTGCTACCGGAGTCTAGCGATCTTATGAATTCGTGTTTTGTCGCAGCATAATTTTGTTCCCTTTTCAAAGATGACCTATTACGTTTTCGGTCCCGAATGTGGCGTACGCTTAAATATTAAAACAGACCATTGCATTTATGCTTCTACTAGTTTTGACCATAACATAGTTACTAACAACGAGAACACTAAAAATGTTTATTAGACTGGTATCCAGTCTCTGCATGCATTATGGTATCCACTACATGGTCATTACCGTTTAAGACCTGTTACTGGTCGCCATATATATCCATGGAACGACAAAGAAGCCTTATAAAACTGAGTACTAAGTTTTCAGCCAACGGCCAAAGACTTTGCTTAACGTTTAGACACTACAGACTGACAACGGTAGAGAATCAATATGTCAAGAAAAAGTGTTTTATGTTATCATGGAAAAAGTACGATTAAGAGGGTCTTCACCTATAAATCCTTCTTAGTTTCTTTGTTAATTATCCATAATTTAGTCGTATGATATGCTTAGCCTTAATCTCCGCACCTTCGTCATCAAAAAGCTGACAAAACATATGGTATATCTTTAATTGTATTTGGCATCAACAAGTCACGAATTATCTTTTACAAGTACCTTTGGAATCTCAACTCAAAATACATTTTCTGGATGCAAAATTAACTTTATTTCAATTGATGTATACTTAAAGTGGTTAAATATCGTCTCCTTGATACTTCCAGAGACGACGGAAAACCAAAAAATCATATGACTAACTATTGCCATTCCAAAGCCAGATGAGTAGAGTACTTAGTCTTGAGGCACCAAAACAGTTTACCTATGATGGGGAGTCTTAGCAGATATGATCCATAAATTCTTGATTGTATACGAGAGAGCTTCATGTGCGACACCAGCATTCAGTACCTTCAGTAGCATCAATAACAAGGTGTAGGCTAGTAACAACTTATAGTGTTATAGGTCCGAAAAATCTTGCATTTATACATACTTTATCGATTTAGGCGGAATCTTCATGTCACATTCAATTACAGAGATTATTTTTTTATCACAAACTGGAAAAGGTCGTTAGAGCAAAGTTTTAATCATTGGTTGACATAAGAGGGTTACGCAGAAAAAAATAGATAAGTAGAAAAACCACAGGACATGATTCATGTTGAACAGTTTCATCAGGGAACCTTAGTGACGTCGAATTAACTAATCTTACCCTGAACTCACTCCTTAATATCTTCAAACTATTTGCTAATG